CTCGCCCCGGGGCAGCGGGTGACACTGAGGGGGCTGGTGGTGAACGAGCAAGGCTGCCTCTTCGACTCCTGCGCCCACTACCAGGCGGACAGCCGCGGGGAGGTGGACCTCTGCAGGGACACTTCCCAGGGAGGGGACTACACTGGGGTGGAGCCCATGGGGCTGTTCTGGAGCCTCTCCCCTGCCGGCATGGAGAGACCCTACCAAGACACCCATGAAGGTGGCGGTGTCAGTCCACCAAGGGCACAGTCAGCCTGGCGCCATCCCGGGGCAGGTGCTAGCCAAGGCCCATGTGGAGAGATGGTTCACTGCCCCCGGGGTGCGGAGAATTAGGCTGAAAGAGGGCAGCGTGAGAGGCAGCCTGTTCCTACCCTCAGGTGAGAAGTGTGAGGGAAGCTCTGCCTTGCAGTGAGTGGATTGAGGCATTGAAGCTGCTTCCCTTTTCCTACATGTAAAGTGTGATGGTAATCACTCGCCTCTGTAACAGGCTTTGACGTCCACCGACAGTGCTTATAAGTGCATGTGATTAGTGTATATATGGGAGCGTGAAAACATTTCTCCTGGCTCAATTGAGGTTGATCAGATTGTGCCATTTCTTTGTATTAAAAATGTAGACATTGCTCTGAGGCCTTTATGGTTATTACAAAAAGTTGATATAAATTATTGGAAAACACCATATAAATGCAAAATATAATGTATTATCTGAACACCATCACAGAGGATTTCTGCTTGCACAAAACAAGACTGACCATGTCCTCATCAGTATATTGCAGCAGCAGTTTACTTTTTTAAATTCACAGGAATAAGATGAATACTGAAAATGAAAAGGACTAACCATCTGTATATACTACTATAAATAATCCCGTGTATGTTAGATGTTTATTATAACACAGGTAAAGCAAAATGGCAATTTATTAAAATGAATGGAGATGCCTATCTCCTAGAACTGGAAGAGACCTTGAAAGGTCATGAGTCCAGTCCCCTGGCTTCATAGCAGGACCAAGTACCATCCTTGACAGATTTTGCTCTAGATCCTTCAATGGCCTCCTCAAGTATTGAGCGCACAACCCTGGGTTTAGCAGGCCAATGCTCAAACCACTGAGCTGTTTTTGTAGACTAGCTCCCCTATGGTATATTTAGATTCCCCATAACGCTGAAGTAAAGTAAAGTGTGGTGGAATTCCCAAAATTTATAGAAGAGTGATTGAATTAGTGAGAAGTCATGTTTTCTTTTTACCAGGAGATGGTTCTGAGCCCAGTTCTTTTACCATGCTAATCAGTGGCAAATCTCCCATGTAGGAGTAGGATTGTGCCATATGGGACACTTTCTCTTTGTTAAATGTATGGGCCATCTGAAGAGATTATAGAGAATACATGCATACTAATGATCTCTCTTCTTACCTCAGAACCAAACTACTCATTAGTTTTATACTATAAAGGAAGAATTTTGCTGGATTGAGGCCTAAATCATTATCTCTACTCTAGTTATTTTTAGAGGCTGATCCAAGGTCCACTGAAGTCAATGGAAAGACTCGGATTGATTTTAATGGACTTTGGAAGCCCTTAGCACTTTCAGTTCAACAGCATTGAAGCCTGGGTATTTTGTTCAGAGCACTTTGCAGGTATGTACAGGGTTTCCACCAAACTTTAGTGGGATCCACAAGACTGCAGCCTAGAACTAACTTTATTTATTTAAACATTCCTGGTTTTGTGATGTTACCACAATACTGGAAAATCCAGACTGGCTGCTTATGTTAAGGTAATTTTCTTCTCAGTGGAAAGTTCTGTTTTTAGATTTCCACCATGAATGTATGTGCTTTAGTGGAAAAAACGAAACACCTGTATTGTTAAAATAAGAATACAAAATCCTAACTGTTCAAAATTAAAATAGAAAGACGTGAGTTAAATTACATCCTATAACATAATAGGGGTGCTTCATTTCCTGATAGGATCTAGAGCCCATTGGATTTCTGGAGTTCTGTTACCTATACCACTTATGAGATGACAACATAACATCATAAATTATAACCCAACAGTGCATGTTTAGTCTTTTAAAAAATAAAAGTGCTATATTGTCTCTTGATATTTTCGCAATTGAGCTTTAATTCAAACTTCTATAATTTCATATGTTGCCCAGATAATATATTTATTTTAATTATATAGTGCTTTTACTCAGTGGATATTGTGTATATTATTCAAACCTGTGATTCCTGTACTGGGACCTTCAAGAATTTCCAAAAATTATAATAAAGAACTTTAAATTTGTAATGCATCTAAAATGTTTGTTTTACTAAATCCTCTTCCATCTTCCCTCCCACTTACAATGGGAATATTCTGTTGTGTTGTACATGATACACTTCATCTTTAACTTCTGTTTTTATTAAATTTGTCATTAGTACCATTGTGGTATAGGAAACAATCTTGTATTTAACTCTTCATAGAACACTAGAACTGGAAGGGCCCTTGAGATATCATTGAGTCCAGTTCGCTGCCCGCATGGCAGAATGAACATCAATCTAGATCATCCCTGATAGATGTCTATCTAACCTGCTCTTAAATATCTCCAGAGATTGAGATTCCAGAACCTCCCTAGGCAATTTATTCCAGTGTTTAACCACCCTAATAGTTAGGAAGTTTTTCCTAATATCCAGCCTAAACCTCCCTTGCTGCACTTTAAGCCCACTGCTTCCTGTTCTATCCTCAGAGGCCAAGGAAAACAATTTTTCTCCCTCCTCCTTGTAACACCCTTTTAGATACCTTGTTCACAGAAGCAAAATGTTTGCCAGCCCTCCTGGACAACTATCAAATTATACAGGTTAACTATTCTATTTTGATTACTCATTTTTTTGCACCCAGAAGGAGCAAGGAAGTCAGACATACATTTTATAAAAAAGTCTACCTTGCTTTAAATTTGTTCTGCTGCAGTTAGTAGTAGGGAAGCTCATTTTTTTTATTAGTCTGTAAGGCGCTGCAGGCCTATTTGCTGATTTTTTTGTCAGTGGTAAGCTGTAAGTCCTTAAAGCTCCAATTTTGCCCATTGAATTCAATGTGATCAAAATAGAGAACTAAGATTCTTCATTTTCCTGTATTTGCTGCAGTCTGTATGTAGTAAATTGGTGATTCTTTAACTAAAAAGCCTTATATGATTATTTGCTGCTATCAATACATTTGGAGAAAATATGTTTTGGTTTTAGTTGTGTCCTATTCATTTTGGAATACAACCCAGTTTAATGACACACATTAAAGCCAAACCAGATTCCATCCTCAACTTATATTTTCTTTAAAATCTTGGCCATGGATATCTTTAATAAATGGGTGCCTGAATTTAGGCTCCTTATTCCATACTTAAGGGCTTGGAAGGAAGTTGATTAACATAGCTCCCTGTGTAGACACATTTATGGAATAATAATCACTTTATTCCTGAATAATAATTTTTGAATCAAAACACTTTTATTTAGGAATAGATTGCCCACATAGGGAGCTATGTTGGAATAGCTATTCTGGTCAATTTCCCTGTGTACAAAACCCCTAAGTGGCTTGACTTTCAAAACAAGATCCCATTAAAGTCAAAATAAAATTGATAGTTCAGAGAATTGTGTTGTGCTCAGCAATTTATATAGGCCTCAGGGGTCTCAGTTTTGATACCCATTTATTAAAATCTTGGTCTATGATTTTGGACCAGATACTATGTAAATTTGCTGTATCCTGTTTCATTCTTTTCATGCAGCCTAAAAAAATGTTCCTTTTGATTAGACAGACACAAGCCACCTGCAGCCTGTCTGTTTTTTTGGTTTCTCTTAATAGACTTTTGTGATTACCCCTGGCTTGCACTTTTAGGATCCCAGAGCAGTTGGACATAATATCTTAAACATGAATTAGACTTCTGTTAAAGAGTTATATATACTAGCAAGAGGCTACAATAAAACCTGAGGTTCGGGGGAAACATCTGTAGTGCCTTGGTTGTATAGGATTTCCTCAAATAATACCAGAATGAAACTGACAATACTTGTATGTTTCACAGCTACTCAAAGGGATGATAGAAACAGTGTAAATGCACAGAGATTTCCCTTTCAATATGCTGCTTTTATTAATGACTTTATTGTTAAGGAAAAATGAGAATTGTTAGAATCACCGAAGTTGGAAATCAAAAAGAGAATTAGCTCATCTAGACCATCCTTTGCACCGCTAGATTTTTTCCTTACAATATATTTCCAATGCATTGTTTAATTTTAAATGTTCCAAGCAATGGAACTTCACTGTTTCAGTCTAGGGAGTCACGCTCAGTGTTTCCAAAATCCCTTAAGAGCCAAGAGGTCTGTTCTTCCATTCATGTGTTTTATGTAACTCTCAATGTTAAGCTGCAATTATGTGAGAATAGACCCATTTCCCTCTCCCAGTGGCAATTTGGATTTGAATGGATCAATCATGCTATCTGATGACCAATCAGAAAAATACTAAGACTGCTTATACTTCTCACAGACCCAGAAGACAGTATCTCATATTCTCTAGGTCAAATTCTGAACTCATCAGGTATCCACTGTCTATGCTAGAAAGATTACTAGAAAATAAATACATGTGACTGTGCAGTCATTTTAACCCAGATTTACAAAGGTATTCAGGTTGCTAATTTCCATTGATTGCCTAAATACTTTTGAAAATCTGGGTCAATGAGACTAGCTGCAATAATAGGTTGTTTTAGCATGGGACTACTCAACTAATGGCTCATGGGCTGTGTGCAGTGGGGTTTGGGTTTACCCGGGGCTCAACATGCAACTCGGGGTGGGATTCTTTGAACATGGCCTTCACTGGGAATATGCTCCACAATGGTGAGTCAATATAAAGGTTTTCTGTTGATGAGTGTTTTAGTAGTTAAATTCCTGGATTGTCATTGCTCATTAAAAGTGTTGGAATATGGGTAGAAATTGGGTAAATATTGCATTTTATTAATATCAGCAAAACTGACTTAAATGGGGCCTGCGTATTGTGTAGTCTTGCCTTAATCTTTGTATTCATGCCCATCAGTGTGAAAGAAGCTATTTGCATATATATTTGCATGTATATGCAACCACACTTAAGTTGCTGCCTTTGGCATGTGCTGTATCACTGTGACTCCTGGGGCTTCCAAAGTTGAGTAGCTCTCATCTAGCATATGATCTGCTTCTTCAGCATGAGAAGGCCAAGTCTTTGGAAAATACACTGGGGTGACATTAAAAAGTATTCTCATGTGTTTGAGCAGGTGTTCCATATAATAGTAATGGGAAATATCATTAGTACTGATATTTTGCTTGTGAAAAAGTAATACTAGATAATTATTAACTGCACCTATTATATTTTGCATTTGCAGTTTGTTCTTCACTCTATACCCTCTAATGTCTTTGCCTGATAATATTGGGTTTTTTTTCTAATTTTTGTAGGGGATGGCCCTTTTCCAGGGGTGATTGATATGTTTGGTGATGACGGTGGATTGATAGAGTTCCGGTCCAGTCTCTCTTGCCCTGCCTTATTTTAACTTTGAGGATTTGCCTAAGATCATGAAGGATTTGCATCTGGAATACTTTGAGGAGGCAGCTAGATTTTTACAGCGTCACCCAAAGGTCAGTGTAATTAGAGAAACTCTTGGGGTATGACTACACTACCACCCTAGTTCAAACTAGGGTGGTAGTATAGACATACCCTTGTAGACATATTCCTCTAGATGTGGGCATGGAACTTTGAGGATTTGCCTAAGATCATGAAGGATTTGCATCTGGAATACTTTGAGGAGGCAGCTAGATTTTTACAGCGTCACCCAAAGGTCAGTGTAATTAGAGAAACTCTTGGGGTATGACTACACTACCACCCTAGTTCAAACTAGGGTGGTAGTATAGACATACCCTTGTAGACATATTCCTCTAGATGTGGGCATGGGAGAGAAGACTTATCAACAGTGCTGCATTGATGGCAGTATGTGTAGGGGAAGAACAGCACATTAATTTCCTTAATTTATCAGCCCTGCCCAGTCAATCAGGTCAGTGCACAGAGCCCTGACTGGGCAGAGCTGATTAATCACCTGTGAAGCTGTACTGCCACGCAGCTTAAAGGGAACACCGAGATTAGTACTCCAGGAAATGGCAATTTCAGCTGGTTAGATCTGAATGGGTGTATCCTAGAGTCCAAGAGCCCACAATATTTTATGAGTTAGCACCTTTTGTGTTCTCTGAAACATTGGACACAAACAAGAAACAGGATTGTGCCCCTGGTCTGCATTATAAGTTCCATTTGTAATTTTCTAACAGGAACTTAATTTTGTACAAGGTTCTTGAAAAAGCCCCTCTGAACATGTTTGATGTCACACTGTCATTAATGCATATGTTTCTCTTTCTCTCCACTCCCTTTTTCCCTCTTTTTGTTTATCTGAAGGTGAAAGGGCCAGGGATTGGAGTGATTGGGACAGGGAAAGGGGCAGAACTGGCATTCTCCATGATTACTTTCCTGCCACAGGTGGTGGCAGCTGTCTGTATATCTGGCTGTAGCTCCAATACCATCACTGCTCTTCACTATGGTGAGCTGACTCTGCCTGGGCTGCGCTTTGACATGAGCAAGATCAGCATTTCTGAGGCTGGTGTGTTTGATATTTTTGAAGCTCTGGATGACCCAATGGATCCAGCTAATTCCCACTGCCTAATCCCCATAGAAGAAGCAGAAGGTCATTTTCTCTTGGTGGTTGGAGAAGATGATCGCAATTGGAAGAGCTCTTTCTTTGCAGAGATGGCAATTGGACGCCTGCGCCAACATGGAAAAGACAACTTTAAACTTTTGAGTTATCCAGGAGCAGGCCATCGGATCGATCCACCCTTTTTGCCACTTTGCTCAGTAGCCCTGGACCGTGTCCTAGGGTTGCCTATTCTAGGTGGTGGGGAGAGAAAAGCACATGCACATGCACAGGAACACTCCTGGAAGAAGATTCGGGAGTTTCTGCACTTACATTTGGGATGAACGCCTCACTACCTGAAAGCTGCCACTTAATCACAGGGGGCTGAGAAATGAGACACCCAATGGACTACAAGACTAGAGAGTCTGACTCAGAAAGACAGAAAAACTCGATACGTATTTGTTGGTCAAATGACAACTCAGTGGCAGATGTAAACACCGAGGAGGGTGAGGATTTGTTTAAGGTTGTTGAAAATGCTGTAACTAGTGTTGGGGAGAAATGTAATAATGGAAAACTTCAATGTTCATGTTAGTAAAAGTTTTCCTAATGCCAAGATCACTTTAGACTGGGAAATAATCACCTGAGGAAGGTGACAGAAGTCCCCTCACTTGTGGCATGTAAAGGAACCCAGCACCCTGTCCAAGCTAAGAATGTTAACTAGTGGTTAACTGACTAGTTAAGCAGTCGATGGAAATTCCAACAACTACTGGACTAGTCGATAGGCACTTCCACATTCCTCCTTTGAAATGTACAAGAGTCCCTGGTGGGGCTCTTGTACATTTCAAAGGAGGAATGCAGAATTCCATGTGCAGCCCAGGGCCAGCGGGAAGTCCCGCTGACTTCGGGCTGCACTCGGGTCAGCTTTGAAATGTACAAGAGTCCCTAGTGGGGTCAGCTGGAGACTCTCTAGCTGATGCCAGGCTCCACGCGCAACAGCGCCGGAAAGCTGATCCCTGGCTCGTTTGAAAGGGACAGCGTCGCACTGCTGAGCTGGGGATCAGCTGTGTGGCTGCCCCTTTGAAACACCGAGGTGGAATTTCAAAGGGGCAGTGCCACACAGTTCATCCCCAGCTCAGCTGTGCGGCGCTGCTGCTTTGAAGTACCCCCTCTTCCATTAGCCATGACACCCCCCCTTTGCTGCCTCTCTCTGATAGAGACAGCAAGGGGGGGAATCGACTAGTCAACTGACTATCCAATAAGCATTTGCTTATTAGATAGTCGATTAGTCCTTAACATGTCTAGTCCAGGCCTGCAGAAAACAGCAGTCAAGAAGACTGGCCTGCATCTAGTGGAATGATGGCAGTCCTAGATGGTAAGATTTGGAATCAGCAATGCCCTGTAAACTGGCAACATTTGCCTCACTGTTTAGGATTTGAATCCAACTAGTTCAGCTCAAATGTTTTCCTGTAGTGTGTCCCCCCAGGGAGCACTCTGTTCTAAAGCTTTGACTGTTTGCTCTGCCTCGTTTGGAAAACTTTTCTATTAGAACTTTATCTGGGATGCATACATGGATAGTTGTTGGACATATTGATGTTATCGTTGTTCATTATCACTGAGCACAGCCAATGGCTCCTTACACACCAATTGGTTGCAGAGACGAAAGATGAAGCGTTTTCAATGCACGCTAATGAGTGGGATAGCACCAGTAGTGATTTATTAGTGAGGTTTTCATGAGGGACTTACCTCTATTGTATCATAATCTCTTGGCTGGCAGGTAATACTTGGTTAGTGGATATTACTGTTCCACTGGGTAGCTTGGTTAAATGCAGATTTGTTATATGCTTTGATATTTCTGTTTCCTTCTTCCTTCTTGAAGTTTAGTCTTCTAATTGCATGTTTTTATAGTAGTAATGACTGTAGTTAAATGAGGGATACGAGGAATCCAGTTATTTTGGAATTACCTTGTATACTAACTAGCTGATAGTGATAGCCACTATTGAGAAGGAGCAGAAGAGTTGATTGGTGAATTGAAAGAATGCAGGGAGCCTGGCCAAAAGGAGGCAATAGAGTTATATTGGCTGTCAAACAGTGACCAGCTTAAGAATCAATCAAAAATGAAAAAATCCTGAGAAATTCTCTCCTAGCTGCCTGGAAAAGAGGGAGCTATTGTACACAGGGCTGCCAGGGGATTATGTTTCCAATCTAATTAATTTTAGACTAGTGCCTCCCCTCTTGTCAGGTTAGGAGCCCCACCTCCATCATCTTGATAGAAGGGAATCACAATTTCTTCTTTACTTAATATTTTTTACCTCAGTTAGTTCTCTGAAATAGTGGTAGTGCTGGAAGCTTGGTTCCCAAGCTCCACTTCCAGCACAATTCCCTTTCCATGGTCCCTGTTGTCAGAGCTGCTTAAAATTGCTGCCTAGGAGCTTTTACTTTTAGCTGTCACTATGCTGGTGTTTTATGCTTATTGACTTCATGTCATCTAAGTCACATGTGCACTATGCACATCATCTTGAGTGTTCATCTCGTTGATGCTCAGTCCACAGACATTTCCCAGCCACACCACAACAGACTTCACTTCATGTGTGCCTACTCCCTCTCCCCACACCACCAACACAACTGGCATGGTTAAATGGGTTTTGCAGGGGGCTTTGGTGCCTGAACCTTTCCTGAAGATAGATAGCAACACTACAACAGGCCTGCAACCAGTTTTGATGAGGAGTTACTTCCTCTTCCCCAAAACTACTCCCTGCTGTGACCAGCAGTGCTCCTTCTAAGCTGCATGGCAGCACAGCTTCACAGGTGATTGATCAGCAGGGCAGAGTCAGTCAGCTCCATACATGGAGCCCTGAGCCTCTGACTGGGCAGGGCTGATCAATCACCTGTGAAGCTGTGCTGCCGCTTGCCTTACAGGGAGCACTGGTGACCAGAGAAGTTGTCCTTTTGTTTCCCTTCTCACCTGAACTGCCACCAACTTGCCTGCTTCCCTTAGATTGGGCAGTGGTCCTAGGCAGCCTGTTTTGCTGCCCACTAAATCTCCATTGTATCTTCTTACCTCTGCAGATCCACTGCTGCCCAGGACTGCAAGTTCCTGGGACAAGTTTATAAAATCCACGGTAATCCCAGTCAAACTAGGCTAGCTAGAGGTACGAGTCCAATCAAATTGCTGGGTTCAGGTATAGATTCTGAATGTAGGCATTGTTAGATTTCTCTGATTTTAAATTAATATCACATTTTTCATTAATTATCAAAAAGTAATGTCAACACGTATATAAAAAGGTGGTTTTAAATTCTCTCACTTTAAAATGTCATTTTAAATTAATTTGCTTTATAAATAAACAGTTTCCCCACCCATTTAGCATTAACACACTTAATTATGTGTAGAAATTTGGCAGCAGCTTTGGTTTTTTAAATTCTGATTTTTCAAAAGGGGAGAAGGGAAAAAACCTGAAAGCACTTAATACTGCAATTTGTTAGTGTAAATACATCTTGCCAGGGGAGGATATACAGCAGGGCGAACGGAGCAGCCGCCCTGGGCCCCGCGCTTCAGAAAGCCCCGCGCATGCTCTGTGGCACCACTGCGCATGCGGTCACTGCACATGCGCCGTGGCAAAGGGGGGGGCCCCGCAAAACCGTCATCTGCCCCTGCATCTTGCACTCAGACAATACTAATGACCAAAGAACATATACAATGATCTGAAGCAAACTGCTTATACAATTACGTGTTATTAATTTACAAAAACTCATTCTAAAATGCATCTTATTCTATCTGCAATGTAAATACCACTAAAAATGTGCAGTATGCCTTAATGCAGAGGGCCTGATTGTGGCCATATTTAATGCCTAATTTTTAGGCCCCGATTCTACATTCTTTATTTAGGAAAAACACCCAAATAATTTCAGTAGACATAGTGTTGGTGTAAGGAATGCATGATCAGGGTTTTAGGATCCCTAGATCAAGGTAAAATTAATATTGGGGTTGCAGAATTGTTTCAGAATTTCATTCTATGCAAGAGTAGCTGTGGGTTCAATCCTTGCATAGGCTGATAATGCCATAAGTATCCTGCTTCAGTTCTGCTGAAGTTAGTGGCCAAATTCCTATTGATTTTAAGAGAGCAGGATCAATCCCAAGATGTCATATCAGCCCAGCTGATGGTTATGCTGTCTAACCACTTTGATCCAAATAAGGAGGGTTTGTTCAATAACCATATGTATGATTGCAAGTGGGATGATAAAGAGCTAGTTTGTATGAACTGGCTTATTATTTGCACTATTTTATTTTTGTCTGTTTTCAAGAAGAGCTTACAATAAATTTCTAAAATGTGTTGCTAAAGTGCGTTTCTTTAAGACAAAGATTTATGGGGAGGAGGAAGTGAAGGCATTCTACACATGAACCTGTACCCCATAGGTTTCTGCTAAAATGGTCAGGAATGAAATAGTTAAATGTTTACTTTACTTTTTCCCCAAGGGGCTTCAGATATGAATGAGGCAGTTCATACTTCTTGCACCTTCTGCATCTCTCTTATCTATCTCCATAGCTCGGTAACACTGTCTATGTTCCCTTTTGCATAGATTTTCCTCCTAACTTCTTCCAATCTTACACAAATCCATTGTGCTTTCTGCCTCAGAAGATTCTGTGGGATCCAAGCAAAGGTTTCTATACTTCTACATCTGTTACAATGGCTGATTTGAAAGGAACTTTACACTTACCAATTTAAAATATCCCTTTCCTGTTAGAGGATGTCTAAAGTGCTTTGAACATGAAATCTGGTTAATATGGTAATGCTTATAGCACTACAGAGAAGCCTAACATGTATGGCAATATGGGCAAAAGTGGACCTCTACCCTATATACATTTGAAGTGAGAGAAAGTCACAAAACCATCAAATTCTGCTACAGCAAGAGCTGAAATAGAACACTTGCATGTCTCCTCCCTACAGAAACTAAAAGTCACTTTCTGATGTAATAGTGTTGAAAAGGATCGTGTGGGTACCATTTGTATAGAGCAAGTGCACAGGGCTCTAGTGTGCTATATGTCTGAATAAGTCTGTCCCTATCACAGGCAGCACCTTGCATATTACCAGACAGACAGCCCAGCTCTCCTTTCCACCTGCTGTAAGACATTACCTGAAACTGCTGCCAAACCAAATGCTGTACCTGCCAGCATACCACTGTGGCTGCCAGAGACCTTGCCCAGGCCAACAGGACTCCTCCACCAGCACTCTCAGCATGAGGCATTGTAACCCCTCACACCACACACTGAGCCATGATACAGTAGTGATGTCAGCTTAACTGGGTGGAAAGTGATGGGGACCAAGCAAAGTGTGCAGGGCCTGTTAGGGCAGGCAGACAGGATCCTTTTAACACCTAGGCTGTGTCTACACTGGGCCACTTATTCCGGAAAATCTGCTTTTCCAGAATAAGCTGCGAGCTGTCTACACTGGCCCTTGAATTTCTGGAAAAGCAACAACGCTCTACTGTACAAAATCAGCCGCTATTCCGGAAAAGCTACGCTGCTCCCGCTCGGGCATAAGTCCTTATTCCGGAACACTGTTCCGGAAAAGGGCCGGTGTAGACAGCCCAGTAGTCTTTTCCGGAAAAAAGCCCCAATCGGGGCTCTTTTCCGGAAAAGCGCGTCTACATTGGCTACAGATGCGTTTCCGGAAAAGCATCTGTGGCCAATGTAGACGCTCTTTTCCGGAAATACTTGTAACGAAAACTATTCTGTTTTAAGCATTTCCAGAAATTCATGCCAGTGTAGACACAGCCCTATTGAACACTCACCATAGAGCAGGAAAGACATCTAATGTTCCACAATGTGCTACATTGCCAAGACTCACAAAAAATAGCATGGCATTTAAAAACAAGCTCTACCCATTTCAGAGGTGTTTTATACAAACTTCGTAATTTCTTTGTATTAGTAGTAGCACAAGTACACACATATATACCAGGCAGCATTGGCAGCAACCAGGGCTGTGTTTAGTACCTAGAGCAGTGGTTCTTAACCTTACTGCAGCCTGCACTCCTTTGGTTCTCAAAATATGTTTTCGCACCCCTTATTAAAAATAATTGAAGTAGGTCAGTTCTTTAAACCTAAGATATATCATAAAAATCTGGCATGTCTCGCGGGTGCGTGCACCCCAGGTTAAGAACCACTGATCTAGAGGTTTTTCTTCCCCCGATACATAATAAAATCTGGTCAGCAGTAGGGCTGCGGGGCACTGATGAGACGGGCAGAGGAGGGTCCCTCTGCCAGTGTGGTGAGGGACAAAGCGCTGGGGAGGTCAAGCCAGAGCCGGGCGAGGGGGAGCGCCACTGGTGCCGTGGGGATACGTGGGAGAGCGGCGCCGGAGACTCAGCAGCACCCTCACTGAGAGGGGAGGGTCGGCGTTGCAGTACACGCTTCGCTGAAGCCGCAGCCTCAGCCCCTCTCACAGCCGCACGGACGGCGCTAGCAGGCAGCCCCACAAGCCCCGCTTGCCGCAGCAGAGCCGCCCCGCCGCGGAGAAGTAACCGGGCCGCTGGGCGCGTGCCGCCGAATCCGCGAGAACAAGGTGCGGACCGCGCCCTCCAGCGCACAGCGGCGCTCTCGGCAGCAGCACAGAGGGGAGCGCAGAGCCGGCGGGAAAGGTCACGTGGTTCCCGGGTTAGGGACTGTCTGGTTGCCATGGTGTCTCTATGATCCCTAGCGTCTCGCCTCGACTGCGCTGAGCATGCGCGGGAGATTAGCGTGCCATAGCAACCGGATCAGCGACAGTAGCAACGGTAATGGTGAGTCTGTTGAAAGGTGCAGCGGGGGAGCTGGGTGCGTGTGTGGCTGGCTCGGGGGGAAGCGAGGCGGGGTTGAGGACACCTGGTTGGGGTAAGGGGAAGGGGGAGCTGGGGGGCCTAGAGGGCCCTCGCTATGGGGGGGCAGGGAAAGGGGCCTGGGGCGCCGAGCTTGGCCACGGGAGCATATTTCACTGAACGTGGCAATGCTGGGCCTGACTCTCCCTATTTCTCCACACAGAGCTGAGGAGCCTTTGCCCCTCCTGTGTTCTGGGCCCTGCCGGAAGCCCAGCTGGCCCCAGCATAAGTCAAAGCAGCCTCGGTTCTGCTCGCTCTAAGCTGCAGCAGCCTCCTAGAGGTGTTTTGCAGTCCAGAATAGCCACCACTTGCTGTCCTCCTGCCCCCTTTGACAGGTCCCTACAATGGGAGCTGCAAGAGGTGTTGGTGTGGAGAGGTATAAATGGGCCATTAGGCATCACATAAACTGGTCCACTGTCTAAGTCTGCGGGGGTATTTCCTTCAATCTTGAATGACCGTTAAAAAGAAACAACAAACCAACACAAAATTGTGTCTTGGAAAGAGAGTTATTCCAGAGATAGATCAGAATAGTAGGAGCAAATCATCCTTGAGCTACTTGAGTGCCAGGAGTCACCATCATTAAAATGCTGTGTTTATAGATGTTTTGAAGCCTGTAACAAATACATAATCTACTTTGACAAGCCTGATTACTGCTCACTTACCTAAGAAATTCCATGTTGTTTTATTTGACTGAAATGACCAGTAGGAATTAAATGCATAAAAATGAGGATGAACCCCAGTTATCTATTTTTACTTTCTGGAAACATTGCTGTATTTGGTTGACTTTTTGTAAACTTTCTGTGATAATTCTTTGTAAGAAATTATTCCATTGAAGGGGAAGAGCATGGATTATTTAATGTTTTTGTTCTCTTTTACCAATCCTGTGTGTATGTGTGTGTGTGTGTGTGTGTGTGTGTGTGTGTGTGTGTGTGTGTGTGTGTAGATTTTTATTATTTCCTTAGATTATTTGTTGTTATTCCTGACGCATCAATATGATCTGTCAAAGGTGACATTTTCAAACACTGATCATTTGGCATAACCAGCAGTATATTATTTTGATTACTTACTATTCCTTTCAGTAATCTAACCTTTTAAGATGAATCGCTCTGGGAAAGGAGCCAGTGAAGGTGAAGGTTCTTGGTAATTGGCTGGTTCATGTGAAATTTAAGACAAGGCTAGTTGATGCATGCCAGTAGCAAAAAGGCAGGCAATGTTGGCATTTTTGCTGGAGTAAATACAAACTCACTCCAAGAAACCCCGATTTCTGATCTGTGCTACCCAAATGACCTGTTTCCATGCTTCTGGTTTTCATCCTCACCATCAACATGAAGCCCAGGTGTCAGTAGTGGGAGAGGCAGGACAGTTAGGAGTGCAAATCTGAAGAAGTTAGGATCCCTATATTTAAATTATATCACATGTATTATTGTAAATTTAAAATTTTGTCAGATTTTAGGCTCAGGTATGGGAAAGAAACTGCATTAGTCATCTATTCATTGAATGATATGTGACAAAGATCAAGGGTCCTTGATGATTTTTTCATATCTGTCACTTCTCTTTGAACCAGTTATTTAATATTTATATTGCAGTAGTGTTTGCATACTGCAGTCAAGTTGAGCCCCATTGTATTAGGCATGGAACATGCATATTATAAATAACAGATTATGTCTCAAAGTGCTAAAATCTAAAAGATATTTACTTTTGTTGGCTCATCTGTGGTCCTTCACAGGGTTTGACAGAGTTGTTAGAGTTAGAGAGGGAAGAAAGGATGCAGTGTTTTTAATACAAGAATGAGTCTCAGTCCTATTATGCTCTTGGTGTTTGATTCAGCTAGTGTAGTGGAACAAATTACCAAATGTAATTTACATGACTGTACATGCATAAAGGCTAGATGGCTGTAGCTTAATCTAGATAAGATTGTGTTGATGTTGATAGGCTGGGAAAGCAACTGGAAGAATTGGTGAGGTTTATATCTGCATCCCCAAATAAAGGAACATCCCTACCAGTTGTGAGACAGGTTCACAAGCTTGGAATTTTGTTAGATTCTGGATCACTTTGACAGCTTAGTAGTCTTTTCACACATATATGTTCTGTAGTCAGGCAAAAAGCTTGTGCACTTTTCTTTTATATTTAGAGCTTCTGCTGTTGTTGTTGTTGTTGTTTTGTTGTTATTATTTATTAATTTGCATTACCATAGTATCTAGGGGTATGTCTATACTAGCCCCCTAGTTCGAACTAGGGAGGCTAATGTAGGCATTCGAAGTTGCAAATCAAGCCCAAGATTTAAATATCCCACGCTTGATTTGCATCTTCCCGGCTGGTTGCCATTTTTTTTTAAAATTTATAATTCTGGACAAACTGCCCACGTCTACATGCGGCAGGGACCCAGTATTTCGAATTAAAGCCCCTAAATCGAACTAGCTGTTAAATCTCTTTGCAGGGGAGGGGGCTAGTGTAGACATACCCTAGTAGTCCTAGTCATGACTAGAACCCTGTTGTTCTAGGTTCCTTATACAAACTAGGGACGTTAAAAAGTGGTTAATTAAGTAATTGTGTAACCAATGAAAATCTTAGCAGTTACACAGTTACACGCTGCAGGCTCTGCAGTATAAAGTTTATGCTGCAGAGCCCCCAGTGCAACCGGCTTCACGGGAGCTGGGCTGGCAGCCAGTACATGTCAGGAGCTGGCTCCCGGCTCCATTCCCAGGGAGCCAGCTACGCTGCAAGCTCTGCAGTATAAGCTTTATACTGAAGAGTCTGCAGTGTGGGGCGGCAGCCAGCTCCCCAGGAGCCAATGGGGGCCAGAAGCCAGCTTTTAAGATGGCTCCCGGCATGTACCAGCTCCCACCTACTGCCCTGCTCTGATACAGAGCCAACTGTATGGCCCTCCGGAAGCAGGGCAGGGAGCGTACAGGTAACTGTTATGGTAATCAATAAGCTCCTGCTTATCGGTTAACTGTTTATACTATTACATCCCTACTACAAACACAGAACAAAAAGATGGTCCCTGCCCCAAGGGTCTTATAATTGAACCTTTCTACAATTATACATGTTTTGCTGCTTTGAGATTGCAGTAGTGTAATGTGGTCTACTACATAATGAGACCATTCAGAAACTAACGCTAGGGTGAATGGGATGATTCTTGCTGAATGGAGCATAGGACATAAAGGCTACGTCTAGACTGGCATGATTTTCCGCAAATGCTTTTAACGGAAAAGTTTCCCGTTAAAAGCATTTGCGGAAAAGAGTGTCTAGATTGGCACGGACGCTTTTCTGCAAAAGCACTTTTTGTGGAAAAGTGTCCGTGCCAATCTAGACGAGCTTTTGCGCAAAAAAGCCCCGATCACCATTTTCGCGATCAGGGCTTTTTTGCGCAAAACAAATCTGAGCTGTCTACACTGGCCCTTTTGCGCAAAAGCTTTGTGCAAAAGGACTTTTGCCCGAATGGGAGCAGCATAGTATTTCCGCAAGAAGCACTGATTTCAGACAGTAGGAAGTCAGTGTTCTTGCGGAAATTCAAGCGGCCAGTGTAGACAGCTTTTGCGGAAAAACTTGCCAGTCTAGACACTGCCAAAGTGCATAACATTAGAGTTCTCTGATCTGTTTAGCTACCACAAAATCTCTCTCTGTGTTGTACTGTACTGTGAAGATCAGCAAAGATATTCACACTGGAATCCTCTTGATTTTAAAGTGAGAAAGCAGTTGAAAGACTGTATTCTGTGAGAGATGCTTGACAGAAACATTCCTCCCCCCTTAGTCCTTTAAAGCCTTGTGGTTTTGGGTGTGTTTTTAAAACTTTTTTGGGTGTTACAAACAGGGTGGATTATATTTAAATCAAATTAGTAATTTAAATAATGGTTTAAATCACTAGTCAGGAAACTCAATTTAATCATGGTTTTCTACATAAAAGTGCATTCTTATTGATTGTTATAACCTTAATATATATTTTTCACAACTCAGAGAGATGTAGGTTTCCTTTTTAGACGGTATACACTGTACATTTTTAAACAGTGATTTATTTTGAAAACTTTTCAGATTAGTTTTAAGCTATATCAGAAAATGAATCATTATTTGGTCATTTCATTTACCAAAAGTAACTGAAGCAGATATTTATGAAGTCATTAGGAGATGAACTATCTGTAATTCAACAGGTTAATCACTAATGTTTGGAGGTTTTTTTTGCCATGCTGTATTAGCAGGAGAACATCACCAAACAGACAAATTAATTGTTTTATTTAACTAAAACAACAGCTTTATGTATTCTGGATTTTTTTTCTTCCACAGCAAACATTTTATTTTAACAAAACAAATATATGATTTTTTAAATTTAGTTAAACATTCAAGTTTTTAAAAATCAGGTTTGTTTTTGTTAAAAATTTTTTTAACTGAAATAGTTAAATCAAATATTTTTAAACAATTAAATTGACTATGTCAGTCAGCTTCAGTCAGAAAAATACAAAGATCTGTCTGATTTTTTCTTTTTTAGGCAAAAGCAACAACTATTAAAGAAGCTCTAGCCAGATGGGTAAGTAAAAGAGGAGCATTTGTGGCTCTCAGTGGTACCTTTTGTCCTGGATCTCATTTGTAAATAGGATAGCTTCATCCAGTTTGATGAAAACATTACAGTGAGGTAGCAAAAATAATTTCCTTGAAACATCTGCCACTAAAAGAAGTTTCATGAAACAACATTATTTTATTAATGTCTAAGGATGTTAAGAACTAGTCGACTAGTTGACTACCAGATAAGCATTTGCTATGAGATAGAGGCAGCAAAGGGGGAAGAGGTACTTCAAAGTAGCAGTGCCGCACAGCTGAGCCGGGGATCAGCTGTTCAGCACTGCTCTTTTGAAACCCTAAAGCGGCGTTTCAAAGGGGCAGCTGCCCCTTTAAAACACTGAAGTGCCATGGAACCTGGGGTCAGCTGGCGACTCCCCACCTAACCCTGGGTTCAGAGCAGCATTTCCCTAGAACCCGGGGTCAGCTGGGGACTCCCCAGCTGACCCTGGGCTCCACAGCCCTGCCCCTTTGAAACACCGAGGCGGTATTTCAAAGGGGCAGCCACCGCACAGCTGATCCTGCGTTCAGCTGTGTAGCACTGTCCCTTTGAAATGCCGAAGAAGTGTTTTAAAGAGGCAGCACCACATAGCTGAGCTGGGGATCAGCTGTGCGGTGGCTGCCCCTTTGAAACGCCGCCGCAGCATGAAATGCTGAAATGCTGAGGTGGCATTTCAAAGGGGCAGCTGTGGAGCCCAGGGTCAGCTGGGCTTCACGGTGCTGCCCCTTTGAAATGCCAAGGCAGTGTTTCAAAGGGGCAGTGGCTGCACAGCTGATCCCCGGCTCAGCTGTGCAGTGCTGCCCCTTTAAAACTCCAAGGGAGTTAAATGCCACCTCCACATTTCAAAGGGGCAGCTGTGGAGCCCAGGGTCAGCTGGGGAGTCCCCAGCTGACCCAGGCTCCATGCGACATGCTGTGGAGCATGGAGCCTGAGGTCAGCACGGTACTGCGAGTCCCCCACTGACCCCGGGTCCCCCACTGACCCCGGGTCCATGGCTTTGAAATGCACAAGAGCCCCTTCTGGGGACTCTTGTGCACTTCAAAGCAGGCACCTGCATGCAACCCGGAGTCAGCAGGACTTCCTTCTGGCCCTGGGTTGTAGGCAGAGTTCCACATTTCTCCTTTGAAAAGTACAAGAGCCCCAGTGAGGTCTCTTGTACATTGCAAAGGAGGAAGGAGTAAGTGCCTGTCGACTAGTCAGGTAGTTGATGGAAATTCCATCGACTACTCGACTAGTCAATTAACCGCAATTTAACATCCCAGTTAATATCTCACTGAAATTATTTTCATTTGAACCACTGCGTGCTATTCCTATTAAATTCAGGCCTAACACTGCCAGATTGTGCATTAACAGAAGATCTAATACAGGTTGAACATCTCAAGTCCAGCACTCTTGGGACCTGACTGGTGCCAAACCAAAGAATGTGCTGGATCAGGGGAGTTCAGTATTCTCTAGCAGCATTACCAACACTTGCACTGCGTACTGAGCTTTAGGAAGACATTTGGGGGTAAATTAGAGCAGTGGTCTCCAGCCTTTTAAAGTATGAGATCACTTTTTGAATTTAAGTGCAATCCAGGATCTACCTCAGACCCAAATACCTTTGCCCCACCTCCTTTGCATGAGTGTGTACATGACTGGGACAGAGATTCAGGATGCAGGCTCCAGGTGGACACTGCTTACCACAGGTGGCTCCTGGGTAGTGGTACAGTGGGACTAATGCAGGCTCACTTCTGCCCTGGCTCTGCACCAATCTCAAAAGCAGCCAGCAAATTCCCTCCATCCCAAACCTTGTTGTGTCCCCCGCCCCTGTTCTGTAAAGATAAAATACAGGGTAGGAGAAGGAACAGCTCCAAGGCAAAGAGCAGGAGATGTACAGCAGTGTGGAGAGGGGACACAGTTTTTGTTTACAATAAAACTGAAGTGTTGCATTTGATAGCCTCTTGGCCAAACCAGTGAAGACCTGTCAGAGACTCTAAGATCTACTAGTAGATCCTGATCTACTGGTTGGTGACCACTGAATTAGACCTAAATAATAGCATAGAACACTGACAGCTAAGACTGGTGGCTGTAAACAAACTTTATGGGACATTGGGAAACTTGGCCACACCCATGAGAAGTGGACATCCAGCTAACTAAAATCATGCCGGACCACGGATGTTGCCGGACCAGAGTGTGCTGGACTATAGAGGTTCAACCTGTACTACAAACAGGTTTTCTCTTCAGGACTTTTGATTTTCTTTAGTCTGTGCAATCTTTATCATCTAATGAAAATTTATCCCTAGCGCACAGTAATCAAGGATGAAATCCTGACCCTTTTGAAGTCAACTGGAATTTTTTCATTGACATAGTTGAGCTAAGATTTTATCTGAACAGTGGATGAAGTAAAAACTCCCAGAAGTAATTTTTTAAAAATTGAATCCAAAACTAAATCTCTTTGAAATATTTTAACAATATAAATGTAAAAAATTACTTACACCAGTGTCAGCCATAAGTGTTTCCCTTCACATTTGCATTTCCATTGCGTTATCCACTGTGCAAAGTTTAAATGAGCAAAAAATTATTATATATTATTCTCTTTCAATTAGACTTAGTATAAACCTCCATTTTGGGATGTGCCTAGGGGCTAAGTGCCTTCAGGCTTCAGTAACTCTCTAGAAAGCTCTGTCTGTTGGACATCACACAGCTATTATATCAAACACTGGTATGGATGATGATCCAGAACCCATGGGAATTTTTCCATTGACCTCAATGTGCTTTGAATCAGGGCTAGATGTGACAAACATGCTTAATTCCTTGCAGATCTAGAGCAGTTATTTAAACTGTTATACTTTCTATAAGATTCAGGGCTTGGTGGGGAGTGTGCAGGCACAATGCAAGAGTAGGTTGGATAATAGTTTTGTCAACATGTGTGGATCTTCAACTCAGGATCTTTCTTTTTATTAACTATTCTCCCTACTCCTAACCCATGTCCTTGGGAGATGTGATAGAATCTCATTGAGTCCCTTCTGGTTTCATGCTGTTACTCCTTTTACGTGCAAGTTTATTTTTGTTTACAATAAAACTCATCAGAACAAAATAATAGCTAAGCCCAAGAACATTTTGAGACTGCGGTCACATCACCATAGCAGCAACAGCAGAGATTTTTTTTTTAGCAAACATCCAGCTACAGCAGTATAAGGGGGGAAATTGAGACAACCTGGGTTTCTCCCTTCCCAGAATGTGGCATATGGACCTAGTGGCCAGTATACCTTTCTGGAGGTACCCATGGGACAGAAAACAGTCCAGACTCCCCACTCCAGCGGCTCTAGCATATGACCCAGCATCCCTTTCCTACCTCTTGGGGCAGGCACTACATGGGCCAAGAACTGCCCATAACTCCTGGAAATACCAGTTTTGTGGCTGTCCACGCAAACTAAATACAGACCCCCCTCTTCATATGCTTAATGAATGATGTGATCACATAGTGCTTTCCCATAGGACCCCCACCTTATTCATTGGGCAGGATCAGACCTCCCAGTTGTCTTGGATTTCATGGGACTGTCCTGCTTTAATAGACTCCTATGCAGGAGTCTAAGCTTCCAGTCCTGATTTAATAGACGCCTATGCAGTGGTGCTGGCTGGGCTTGGCTCTCCTTTCTGGTTTATGCCAGCTGATCCTTTGTCTGTGTCTACAGGGGCAGACAGACAAAACCTGAGTGGTGCTGCAACCTCAAGCATCAGGGACCAAATCACAACACCAAAAGCAGGGAGCCAAGCCCAGGCAGTCCCATGGGGCAGGAGCCACTGCTGCAGGGTGAATGCATGGCTGGCTCAGTCTGTAGCATAAACCCTGGGGCTCCCTCTCCTATTTTAGTCATTCCAGTGTTGGGAGATACACAGGATAGATGCAGAAGGAAGTAGAATTAAGTCTGCACAGACATCAGTAAATCTGGCATTTCCTAACTTTTAAGTGTTTGACTGCAATGTAAATAATATTCCTTTAATGTATGTTTTTGTTTAATTATTTTAGTACCAAAAGTGAATGTTTCTCAGTTTACCATTTTACCAATTTTGTCTATGCTTTGAGACTTAGAGATTTCAGATTGTGATTTGAGGTTTTTGTACCTTACACTTAGACCTTTTGGTAACTGATCTGTCAGTGGTCTGGAAACATGCGTTCAGAGTTGGGATTAGGTTTCCAGAATTATTAGAAGGCCAGATCAATGCAGTTTAAATTTGATTCCCCTGAAACTGACCTTTAGGGATGGAGCAGAAAGGAGGTTTTCTAGAAAGTAGTGCTATTGTTAAGTATATACTTCTGCTGTATGTGGCCCCCTAATTCAGATTGAAATGAGTAGATGAAAAGGACAGAGAGGAAGAAGAGTTTGCTGGAGACTTAAAATCCTGGATCTGATCCACGGATCCTCACAGTAAATTTAGGAAAAATAGATGTATAGATAAGCATTTTAATATCTTGGAAATAAACTAGTCGGATCTTTCTTCTTTAAATTAAAGGGGTTTTAGCATGTATGTTGTCATCCCTTTTAGTTACACAGTTGAGTTAGGGGCTGTGTTGCTGGAAGTGAAGTGTAATTCAGATGAACAACACCAGGAAACACAAACAAGATTTTAAAACTTTTTCTTTCTATTTTCTTGATTAGGGATAATTTTTATAACAACTGCAGATTCCAATCAGTGTCTCCTCCTTTTTGTCCTTTGTCTTCCTTCTTAATTTTTCCCAGGAAGAAAAAAATGGCCAGAAGCCATCGGAGGCCAAGGAGGTGAAACTATATGCTCAGGTCCCTCCTGTAGAGAAGATGGATGCATCTCTGTCCACACTTGTTAACTGCGAGTAAGTTCTATTAAACAAATAATTAGGGCTGTCAAGCACTTAAAATTTTTCATCGCAATTAATCACGCGATTAAAAAAATTAATCACGTGATTAATCGCGTACAACTCCCCTTTGAAATGCCATGGCAGCATTTCAACAGGGCAGCGCTGCATGGAGCCTGGGATCAGCTGGAGTCCCCAGCTGACCCGAAGCTCCATGCAGCACTGCCCTTTGGAAGAACCGCCATGGCGTTTCAAAAGGGCTTTGCAACGCAGAGCCGGGGATCAGCTGGAGTCCCCAGCTGACCCGAAGCTCCATGCAGCACTGCCCTTTGGAAGAACCGCCATGGCGTTTCAAAAGGGCTTTGCAACGCAGAGCCGGGGATCAGCTGGAGTCCCCAGCTGATCCCCAGCTCTGCTGTTGCAAAGCCCCTTTGAAGTGCCGGAGCGGCATCCTAGCATCACTCTTGACCAAAATCTCTCCAAGAAAAACATAGTAATTTTAGCTTCATATGAATGAGGAAGGAGGACAAAATAGAGCAAACTAGTAGCCTCAGAAAGAAAAGTTTGGGAAATATTGTACAGGCTGAACTTCCAAAATCCAGGACTCTCCACGGATGTTGCTGGATCAGAATGCCCCGGCATGCGAGAGTGTGAGCCCCATTCTTAGGGAGCCCCAACTGGGCAGGGCAGAAGCCAGACCGGCAAGCCCTGTCCCAGGGAGCCCTGGCTGGGTGGGGCAGCAGTGTGGCAGCCAGCAGCAAAAGCGGGACAGCCAGCAAGCCCTGTCCCTGGAGATTCCCAGTTTGGCGGGGGAGAACCAGGTCAACTACAGCTGGGGAATTCCATCTCCGGGAAGCCCCTGTAGGTTGGAGTCCAAGTCCAAGCCCTGCAGACTGGAGCCCAGTGGCAGTGGGGCCAGAGCAAAGCCAGCTGAAGGGGGAACATCCTAAGAGGCCAGTGGCAGAGACCTCCCTTGATCCAGCAAATTCCCTCCTTTGGGACAAGTCAGGTTGCGAGGGTGCTGAACAAGGGAGGTCCAACCTTTAACCTGTCTTTTGTTTGAGCCAGTCACACAAAGGAGGATGCCACACACATGGTATAAAATTGGTGGTGAAATTGAGGAGAACAGGACTATGTATGTGTCCAGTGGGTTTACCACATAATAAGAGAAGAGTAGAGCGTGATTTTATTCTAACAAAAAGTTATTTGTAAGACAGCCTTCTGATTCAATTGTTCCTTTTGCACTGTTAATATAAGCTCTTAATTATTCTTGCTTTTAAAGGAAGTTGTCTCTGTCTACAAACTGCATTGAGAAAATTGCCAACCTCAATGGCCTAAGTAAGTGATATGTGAATGATAAATAGTGTTTATATTCTAGCAGCTTGGATTAGAGATGTTTGATAACATACGACACATGACCAAGTGCTGACATTCTGTTGTTCTAATATCACCGTTCATTCCCTCCCTCTCTTCCAAATAAATAAATGGGACTCACTAGGAAGGTGGGAGACCTCCATTTCAATCCCCATTTCACATAATGGAAAATGGGGATTTTAACCCACATTTTCTCACATTGTGACTGAGTGATTTAACTAATTGAATATATGGAGGCATGGTTGCCTCCATGTTTCTTAAAAATGAGCTGACTTTGCATAGCCCCATATTCTGTGAAAGAGTACGGAGCTGTAAATCCTGAGTGATGGAGAGATGCCTCCCTCCAGCCTAGACTTAGGTGCCTGGTTCCCTTGAGAGATGAGGTTTAGGCCAAGTTGAATCATTGTGTTTCACTTAATGTCAGTATTACATTGGGAAAAATCTTGCTTCCTGCAAAGTTTGGGATTTCTGAGTACAAAAATATTTATGGAGTAACATTTCCCCAATTGGAGGTCATTTCAACTAATATTAGTTCACCAGTTTTATATTTGAAGCTTTCTAATAACTGAATGGATGCTCAAAAGGTCAGTGCTTTTTGAAAATGTACCCATAATTTATAATCATGACTTAGAGAACTTGAGGATAATTTGGTTAAATCAAGAGTCTTCTTCCATAGGATGGGGAATTTGGGAAATTCAAGGTAACATGGTTCCAAAGGACTTCAGGTTTATTATATTATGAGTGGCATTTAATTTTACTTTTTCCCTTCCAAAGATATCACCTAATCACCTTTTCTCGTTATATCCTGTCATATTCTCACAAGAAAGTAATATGACCAGGACTTGCATCGATCCTTGGATTTCATTAAGAATTCCAGTTGCACCTGAATTTCTTCGTGAAAGTCCATCTATTTCCCCTTCTCTTCCACCTCCCATGTACAAGCCTTCTGTCCTCATTTCCTTCCTTTACTTAAGGTATGGCTAGCCAGGGCAGGTCACTGTTGACCAACCAAAGTCCATCCCAACCACTCTAAACAACTTATGTGCCTTCTCTGTAGTATCCATTGATATTTGAGGGGGAAATTCATTTGCCTCCTTATTAAATAAATAGTACATACTCTACTTGTTCTCATTGGACAAACAGGAAAAAAATAAGATCATTAGGCAATTAATGCCTAGTTCAAATGAAGGCCATGAGAAAGGGCTTGAAATAGACATGGAAACTATTGATTAGAGGTTAACCCATCTAGACACTGTAGAATGATTTTATGTATGCATATATCTGGAAGCATAGCTAGAAATGAAGTTTTACAAAAAGACTGATAGCTTAAGGTGTTCTGGCACATCATTAGAACAATTTGTTTCTGAACAAGAATAGGCAATTTGAAAATAAATCTCATCAGATTGGAGATATTGTTACTAGACTCACAGGCCAAAATAGTTGACCTCTTTCTAATCAGGTACTGGTTGCTATAGAGTGAGCAATACCAGATATTGCCTCCTCAGGAATTGAGTCTGTCTCCTTAGTAATGGTCCCAATCCCTCTTGGCCTGGGAAGTAAGATCAGAGCCAAAACTTTAAACATGTTTCATGCACATGAGCACTAGAACACCAGACTGACAGCCTATTTTGTTTAATATCTACCTAGATTGGATGTGAACAGACAACATACAGATAAAAGACTTTATACAACCTATTCTTGAGCCATTCACTCCACCCATTCATTACAATCTATATTTAAAAGAGTATCTAATTTGCTTCTGGTATGTCATTCTTCCTTAATATAGTCTATTCAGAAGACAAATCTCTCTTGATTGTGGTATACAGGATGCTGTCAGATTTCCAACAGCTGTTTACATTTTAAGGCACCAGTTGTTTGTTAATAAATTCTTTTCCCTTCATTGCAGAAAATTTGCGGATTCTTTCACTAGGTAGAAACAACATAAAGAATCTGAACGGCCTGGTATGTCCTTGTTTGTAGTTTACATTTATTAATTTTAGCAATGAAGAGCTATGTAATTCTTGCATCAAGGCATAGAAGAAGACTGATTTACATACCCATGTGTCTTTCTTCACACAATTCAACCTTAGTGCCTAACCAAATATTTTGTTTTCTTCTGCTGTCATCTTTTCAGCTTCCTACATGTTGCTAATGATGCTTGGAGCAGTCTCTCATTTATCTTGTGCCTGTCAATCATGTCCTTTTCATTGAAATCTCTCCTTAAAATGCCCTCCTTTTTTATAGACTTTAAATGCTAATCCAAGTAAAACATTTAAATCCTCCATTAAGTTTAAAATGAACTTTTTTTCTTTTTAAATATGCATTGTCTGCTATTCTTATTGTCTCAAGCAGTCATCTTTCCCAGACTCCTTTGCAGTTGTCTTTTGTTGTTTTTCTAAGCTGATGTATCATCTTGTAAGGCCCTCCACACACAGCTCCCTTAACTTGAGATTCTGCACACAGCATCGATTCCTTAGACTGTAAGACACATTGATAGAGAATCTGCATTTTAAACTCCAGTGGCATTGTATGAATTATAACTTCTGTTTCCTTTGCTTATATGAATCTCATTCAGGCCTGCCCATGGAGTAAGAGTAGGAGGGGGGGGGAACAATTGCACAGGGGCCTGCCATTTCAAAGGAGTCCAGAAGGGGGGCTGGAGCTCCAGATCCTTTTGAATTGCCATGGTAGTGCTGTTTTGCAGGGCTCTGAGGGATGGGGAGGTGGCCCAATGCTGCACTCCGGGCGGTGCTAAGGACAGACTGCCCTTGGCCTCATACCTTCTGACTGAGACTCTGCCCCTTCTGGGGTGTGGATCTGGGCCCCACACACTTAGCCCCCGGGCCTGTGGTGGCTGTCGGCCCTACTAATCTCATCTCCCACCAGAAGGCTCTTTGCATATTGTGGTCAATCACTTCACATGTTGGCCTGCCTGTAAACCACACTGGTACGCTTTACCTATTCCAGGGGAGATTGGCACATTGAACAATGGGATGAAAGAAGGGTACCCATATTTCCTTATGCAGAATATGGGTCACCAAGGGGAGGCCTACCGGCACTTGGGGCTTTAGCCAGTAGCATTCAGGACTTCAGCCTTGCAGAGGTGGGAGAGAGGGGGAGGGGAGCTGCTGGCACTTGGGGCTTCAGCCCCACAGTGGGTGGGGGAGCCACCAGTGCTCAGGGCTTCAGCCCCACATGTAGAGGAGGGGAGCAGAGCCCCTGGCACTCATGGCTTCAGCCCCACTGTGGAGGGGGGCCACCAGTGCTCAGGAGGGGGAGGGGAAGAAGGCTGCCAGCATGCAGGGCTTCATCCCTGAAGACGGGAGGGGGATGGGAGGGAGCCACCAGCACTTGGGCTTGAGCTGTACAATGGGGGGGGTGGGGAGTCGCCGGTGCTTGGGGCTCCAGTGGCTGAAGCTCTGAGTGCCAGTGGCTCCCTGCCCATCCTGCCTCACTGCAGGGATGAAGTTCACCCCCACAGCATGCAGAGTGAGGAGGGGAGCCACCAAGCCCTGAGCACTGGCAGCTTCTCCCCGCCCCATACAGGGGAAATACGGAACAATGTGCTCGTTTTTTTTTTTTTTTTAGTTGGGACATTGGGAAGAGGCCTTAAATAAGGGACTGTCCTAGTAAAAACAGGACAGTTGGTCACCCTAGAATAGATGTAGGTTATATAGTACAGGGGCAAAGGTAGAAATATAGATAATAAGACAAAGATCTAAAGGAGAGGGAGCACATCACAGTCTTATATTACCTCTGTGTTAAGACAGCTATATAAGTACAAAAATAAAGGAGAGAGTTTGTTCTTTCTCTTTGCATTGCTGCTTGGAGGATATGGCTTTTCAAGGCAGTTCCTCCGCTCAGTACCAGGGCTGCTGTATCCCAGGTGTGAATGCACAGAGGCGATGCTGAAAGAACAATTACTGATAAGTAATCTCTCTTCACTCTTGCTAGAGGAGTGCTGAAGACAAAAAGTAAAATTTGAAACCTGCAGATATAAGCATGTACTTATCTGAAACTCCGCAATCCCTTATATTACAAACTGAACCCTCTAAAATGGTTGATTAATTGCTCTAGCACTATGGAACTCTGTGCATGCAGCTAAATTATCTCTTTTCTTTCCATATGCCTTGAGTAGAACTCTGCTCAGATTTTCAAGATATTTTACTAGTGTCTTAATTTGTTTTCTAAACAAGTTTGAGAGATTTATTTCTTGGATTTTTCTTTCCTTGAAGTTTTGTCATCTGGAATTAGGAACTTGGTTAAAAGGAATATTCAAAGATATGGTTCTGTTTGTTGTATAACATAGTATCTGGAGGGGAGAAGGGGAGCAGAGATTATATGGGAAACAGAGGAAGACTTACTTTTACTTTTCTGAGAGATGTTATCATTTTCCAGGAGGCAGTTGGGGATACATTAGAGGAGCTGTGGATCTCATACAACTTTATTGAGAAGCTGAAGGGCATACATGTCATGAAGAAGCTGAAGATTCTCTATATGTCCAATAACTTGGTGAAAGATTGGGGTAAACCTGGGAACCTATTTTCTCTTTTGCAATTTCTTACTAAATAGCTAAACACACTGTAGTTCTGTAACCACTGAGTGATGGGATAGTCTGATATAGGGCGCTCTCAGTCTCGTCAGGAAACTCTTCCATTTTGGATAAATATTTCAAGAGCCAGTAGAGCAGGGGAACTAGGCTAGAGCATGAGTCTCCCACCTATCAGGTGGTGAGTGTGCACCAGCTGAGACAACTTGGGCCAAAGAGGGGAAGTTGGCTCCTAAGGTTCTGAGTGAGCAAGTTTAATATTGAGCCTGAAGAGATGAACAAGCTTTCAGATGCCTGCTCATACAAGAGATTTTTAAAATACTGAGAAAATCCATGTATTCAACTTCTGTGTCATATGGGGTTTGTTCTTTGAACTATGTATGTGGCCCATTGTTGTTATCACCTACCACCTGCATTCTTTATCCTGGTACCCAATTTGTACCCAGTAAATCCAGATCCTGTACTTAAAAACATTCTGGATGTGTCTGTGGAGATATTGAAAGGAAGCTTTGGTGCAGATGTGCTTTTCATGTTCCAGTCTATTTCTAACATCTTCTTTTGTGGTTGCAGCAGAGTTTGTGAGACTAGCTGACTTGCCATTACTGGAGGATTTGGTGTTTGTGGGCAATCCACTGGAAGAGAAATACTCTGCTGATCAGCAGAGCAGCTGGACTGAGGAAGCAACCAAACGGGTGCCCAGGCTGAAAAAACTAGATGGTGAGCTTTAGGCAGAAGCTGGGTGGCACTTAGTATAAAGACCTTTTGCTTAGTGTAATGAAAACACTAGGGTATTGGCTCAGAACCTCAAAAGTACAATTGTGAGATCTGGAAGAAGAGGAGGGAACCAACTTAATGAGCAGCATTCTTTATTTTTTCTTTCAACACTTACTCTAATACATATTTATCTCTGTATAAACTGCATTATTCGGCCATAGCCTCAACTTCTTTTCAGAGTGGATTTTTGAGGGTTTGAGTGTGAGTGCTGTGCTGAGTTGGCTTCAAGCCTTCAAAGTGACTTCATTTACAACAAAGGCTGTTTCAAATTAGACCTATCACTTTGCATCACTGTAGCTTCAGAGAAGGTCTTGCTCTGATGTGTTGGACTATATCCCATCAAAGTACTAAAACAGCATAACTTAGAAGTGAACTAGAATATGTTTTGTTTTTTATAGAAAATACTTGTTAAGATTTTAAATCTCTAGTGGAATTCACATGTTGACTTAATGGTGAGCTCCCAATAATTTAAATGGATTTATCTTTTAAAACACACATTTAGGATTCTGGGTTTTCTCACAAGAGATGGTGAGAGAGAAAACACCAAGATCATAGCAACACAATAAGTTCCTTACTTTGATTCTATGGTTAGGGATATCATCACCTCTTTCAGGGGAAACACAGAATTGCAAGCTCATGTCCTGACAGGTAATAAAAGGAGAAATGATTTTCAAATATTTTGTTTTGTTGTTAAACTTATTTAAAATTTTATGTTAATGGCTTATATCATAAACTTTCTTGATATTTATTTAAAAAACAGCTCACTTGTCCTTTGAAGCAAATCTAAAGAGCTTCTGTGTTTTGCTTCCAAAGGGTGGAGGGTTGATTGGATAATAGTAGACAGCATGAGGGAGAAATGGGCAGGGAGGGTAGAATTAATGAGGAGCCAAAATAGTAGCTGGGAGATGAGCAGTGGGAAAAAAGCAGTAGTAGGAGAGGTGGCAAATGGGTGAAGAACAGAGTATTAGTGTAGGGAGCAGAGGATGAGAAGTAAGAACCTGAATTATTGAAGAGAAGGGAGAAAAGAGGATACTGAGGCATGGCTAGAGAGAAATGTTAATATGAAGGATGGGATGGAGCAACGGGGGCCCTGTGATAAGAGCAGACAAGCATATGTTTGTATGATCAAAGAGTTAACCCTTGTTTACATAATGACACCAGTGCATGATTGATAAAAAGTGGCACAACACAGGGTTTAAGAATTAATCAGTGTTGCTCATACCCTGTCAGGGTAAGATCATCAGAACAACATATGCTCCTTCCTCAGGTGACCCAGTCAGGCAGAATGCTGTCCACTCATTATTGGTAGGTCATGCTCTGATATACTGCAGTCCGTGCTAAATGGGAGCAACAGCACAAGAGAGCTTTTAAGATGAGGCCTGGGGTAGTGAAGGGAGAACGGACAGAATCAGCAAGGCAGGGAGACACTCAGATGCATGGGAAGCTTGATTTTTTTCTCTTCCATTAAAAAGCATTCCATTAAAAGACTGTTTTACTGATGTCAGCTTAAACTCTTTCTTGCATCTTCTCTTTACCGCTAGTTGGCTAACATTAGTGGGCACTGTATCTGTGAGTCTTATCTGACCTATTCTCTCTCTGTTTTAGGTGTCCCAGTTATTAAGCAAGAAGAAGGTGAAGAAGGAGAAAATTAACAATTCTTTCTTATATGGTATTATATTATTTAAGTTTCTTCAGAGCAGTTCAGCACACAAAGCTTTTGTATAAATGTTTGTTTCCAAGACAATCTTTGGGCAGTTTTTTTTAAGTAACCCATATCCATACTCTCCTTTCCTCACCTAAAGAGTTAATTTCCAAAACATGGGGACACTAACTTTGTACATTTCATGTGTTCTTCTGTGAGAACTATTGAAAGTGAGATTATTAAGTTAATAAGAGTCCTTAACCAAAACTACATACTGGTTTTTATCCTAATTAGTAATACTTGTAGTTCTGTCTCCCTGATTATGGTAGAACAGTTTTTCTTGTTAACCGTGTGTGCACCTGAACTTTAAAAAAAAATAATTTAAAACATGGAGGCCAGAAGAGCAGTGTTTTGTTTTATAGACTCTTTGTAGACTAGGCTTTTGCTATTTTTTAATAATGTCACAGAAAGAAATGGTTACTAATTGTATCTGGGGTTTTAGATGTTAGGCAAATGTGTGTGCACACCCAGCATGGAGCCTTTTGCCTAGCAATATTGTAGAGGGGCAGAACTTGAACCTTGTGAGTTTGGACTCTTCCTAGGCTACATGAGGCAGAGCTGCCCTAAAAGCCTATGCACAAAAGCCTATGAGAGGAGACTCTGATGCAGAAGGCATGGAGAGTGAATTGTAGAATATACATCTGCATCACCATCTCAAAGAAACACAGTTACAGTAAGTAACCATTTCTTCTTCTTCTTCAAGTAGATGCAGATGTGTATTCCACTTAGGTGACTTCTAAGTAAGTACTTCAGTCTGGAGGCAGGGTTTGGAGTCTACTGCAATAGGGATCACAGTTTTCAAATCTTCCACTCTTCCAAGGCTTGTGCTCCCTGGGGAAGATGTGGTAGTAGCATAATGGTTCATAAATGTGTGTGTGAACAACCAGGTGGCTGTCCTGCAAACGTCCAGTATGGAAGTGTCACTGAGGAATGTTTGCACCCTCATGGAGTGAGCCCACATCTGTAGAGGAGGTGCGAGGGGCCACAGCCACAAGGTACGCATGCTGCCCCTCTACAGGTACTGCTAGACAAAAGTTTCTGGGTCCAGCATGCTAGACATGCACACACTGAAATGGAATATATGTCTGCATTTATTTCAAGAATAATCACCCTTCAGCACTTCAGAAACATGTGAGGTTGATGTGTCTGCCCTTCAGAGCTCTGCCAGTATCTGTAGCTCAGTAGGGTTGATAATTGTCATGGGCTTATATTAGAAAAGGCAGTGATCACTTGTCATTAGCAGTGGACCTATAGCTGATAATCATGAACTGCACTGGAACTCAAAACTTCCTTACGGAGAAGGCCATGACTCTTTTTTGATTTATTTATTTGTTTTTAAATAGGCAATGGAAACTCTTTGAATAATTTTTGGTGGAGTTTAAGTACTTATTGTTTTTTTCTTTACATTGTTATAAGAAATTAGGCACTTTAGACTTGAATACATAGGCTTTTACTAGCCACTAACTGGCTTGTGGTATTAGCCTGAACATAACTTTCTTTGTAGCCGGCTGATGAATATAGCCCTTCATAGCTCTAGAGTATTCTACTAAACCAAAGAGGTTGATAACTGTTCAGAAACAAAGAAGTGTACAAAAGACCTGGACATGAGGGTATTTCTGTAAGTTTTGATTACAGGGTACACTACTCATTTGTTTCTAAAGCGCATATGTAGGCAGCTTACTAGACTAAAAGATTTAGGTGACTGCTGGGGAAAGGACAGAAGAGATTAGAAGTAGGAACTGGAAAATAAATATCAATAAAAAGCTGAAATGCTTTGCCACATGGTGACATCTTAGTGAAGTCACCAGATGTGACAATAAATCTTTTAAAAATGAAATGCATGAAATAAAGATTTAGAGAGAACACGTGAAATTAGTGTAGAGGAAAAATCACCACTGACCCCTAAAAATAGATAAAATGACCTAAACAGGCCTTTTAAAATCTCATTTTGCTAAAGTTCTAAGTTTACTTTCCTATTTCTGGTACCAATTCAGTTTAATCAAATTAAACTGGCAGCAATGAGCATCTTGCCGCATCAGGAGCAAAATGAGAGTGGGAGAAAACAGAACCTCACTCATAATTTGTCTTGTGTTCCTAAAGCTGCAGCTGTGGTTGGGTTTTGGAATCCATGATCAAAGATGGGAAAATAGTGATGCAATTAGCCCCAGACAACAGCAGCATTAAGCTCCTCTTATCAAAGACAGTATCATTACTTTTCCTCAGTCTATTCTGATAGAATCCCAGCTCCTACAATCTTTCTGTGTGAACTGAGGAGAGTAGAATACTACGGGCAAAGCATTCAATGCTGTTAATTTCTTTATAACTACTGTGTTTAGTCCCAGTGGAACATGTATGCCATTTATGCCCATATTTGCCCAGACATTGCAGATAAGCCTCAAATCTGATTTTAGGGCCTTTTTTTCTTTTTTTAATGAACAGATGCAGAGAGGCCTCTGCTTTTGACATTGTTCACCTGGTATAAAACTTTTCTAGGCAGGCTGTTGTGCTGCCTTAAATGCAGTCTGTCTCTAGTCTCAGTCGTCCTATCACTCCAGTGGATTTGTTGGTCATCTTGCCATTCTGAAGTAATTTTCTAGGATTGCCATCTCTACAGGTGATTGGGACAAGAAAACACTGACCATACACGATACTGTTGGGAGATGGGTGAAGCTGGGAACTTTGTAGACAGATAACTGTTGATACCCGGCTTTTCATTATGGTTGCTTTCAGCTATAAATTAATTCAGAGAGTTAGTAATTAATAATTCTTTAGACAGGAGGTGGCTTTGCATATTATTTTTTAAACCCGTCATTGCTGATATACTCGGCCTCTGCTGCCATCAACTTTTGTGTATAAGAATAGTAAGCTAGATTTTTGCCCTTTAATACTGTGACTGGAATACTAGCATTTCTCAGTACAAGCCAAAGCCTGGGTAAGTTTGAAACTTGATGTCTAAATACTGCTAGCAAATGGAATTGCCAAGTAGGAACAGTCCTCTTCATATCATTTACAAACTCCTCTGGAGGGATGAGGAGGATTTCCAAAGTAATTGCTTAAAAACAATATTGGTCAGTAGGAGTTACTTTAAAACTGATTCATCCTAATTGCTGAAATGAATTCCCTTCTGTGGTGTTAGAGTTTCCTAAAATAACATGCTTTGAACCTGTTTGCACATGTGTCGCCTGAGGGCTAGTAATACTGTAGCTTCTGTAATTCATTTTTAAGCACTACACGGCACATCCAGTTTGGAGTTGTTTGCTGCAGAGTCATGATCAAAGCTAGCAAAAGTGACTGATATGAGAAAGTATGTCCTCAGGCACCCTGGGCTTTGATGGCTTCATCTGGCATATTCATGTAACGCTATTGCCCTCTGCTTTCCTTCTCCTTCTGCCAATTGTTAGGTGAAAGGAGGAGGTTAAGGAAGGAAAAAAACTTCTAAAGAGTTGACAATAGCTCTAATACATATTTGAAAAGAATGTGCTATATTCTTGCCTGTGAATATGGCCAGCCTCACAACAGTGGGCCCAGAAATATCCATTTGGCTATGTCATTTAGCATTAAACTAGCTATGGCCTTTTAACTTCCTTTTTTGTGGATGAAGAGAAGGTGTGAAAAACACTTGCTGATCCTACCCCACAGTCCTGCTGGTTTATTTATCTGCATATAGTTTTTGTATCATACCAATGAGGTGGCAAAATTTGCAGATGATACCAAACTGCTCAAGATAGTTAAGACCAAGGCAGACTGTGAAGAGCTTCAAAAAGATCTCACCAAACGAAGTGATTGGGCAACAAAATGGCAAATGAAATTTAATGTTGATAAATGTAAAGTAATGCACATTGGAAAAAATAATCCCAACTATATATACAATATAATGGGGACTAATTTAGCTACAATTACTCAAGAGAGAGATCTTGGAGTCATTGTGGATAGTTCTCGGAAAACATCCACTCAGTGTGCAGCAGCAGTCAAAAAAGCAAATAGAATGTTAGGAATAATTTAAAAAGGGATAGAGAATAAGACAGAAAATATCTTATTGCCTCTATAAAATCATGGTATGCCCACATCTTAATTACTGTGTACAGATGTATTCACCTCATCTCTAAAAAAAATATGTTTGCACTGGAAAAGGTTAAAAAATGGGCAACAAAAATGATTAGGGGTTTGAAATGGGTCCCATATGAAGAGAGATTAAAAAGACTTGGATTGTTCATCTTAGAAAAGAGGAGACTAAGGGGAGGATATGATAGATGTCTATAAAATCATGGCTGGTGTAGAAAAAGTGATAAGGAAGTTATTTACATATTCTCACCAAATGATATTAATAGGCAGCAGGTTTAAAACAAACAGAAAGAAGTTTTTCTTCACTCAGTGCACAGTCAGTATGTGGAACTCCTTGCCAGAGGATGTGGTGAAGGCTAGGACTTTACCAGGGTTCAAAAAAGAGCTAGATAGATTCATGGAGGTTAGGTCCATCAATGGCGTCCCTGGCCTCTGTTTTGCCAGAGGTGGGTGACAGGGGAGGGATCACGTGAGGATTATCTGTTGTGTCCCCTCTCTCTGGGGCATCTGGTATTGGCCATTGTCGGCAGACAGGCTACTGGGCTGGATGAACCGTTGGTCTGACCCAGTATGGCCATTCTTATGTTCTTATACAAGTACACAGGCAGAATTTCCCAACACAGCGGCAATATTTGAGAACAGACTAGAAAGATGCACTAATGGGAATTAGCACAAAACAGCAATACATTGACAAGATTTGTGGGATGATTCTCACAGAATGAAGTGCAATTTAAACATGAACGAAAGGGCAGTGCCCCCTGCTCACTACGCTTGCCAACCCTAGCTCCCTGCTGGTATGGCAGCCCTGGCCTGCCCTGGCTTTCTCCTGCCAGTTTTCTCTCCCCCTCCCCC